GCATAATTTGACTTACCAAACTTACTACAAAAGTTATATTTGGTCTTGTATGTGATAAGTAGCTAAGCTTATATGACTTTACAAGCTTATGGTGGAGTAGTAACTGAACATCGGCTGATCGTAACTTTTCTTTAATAATTTTTAATAGTTTCTAATAAGCTGAATGGTTATTAAAAGTACCCACCGAGATTTTCATGTTTTTCCTCAGGTTGATAGTATCAACAAACCTGGAATACTGCTGGAAGTGGTGCAAATCCTATCAGACCTTGATCTTGTAATTACCAAAGCCTACATATCCTCTGATGGGGGGTGGTTCATGGATGGTAAGTCTATTATTTCTTGTTAGTATTTTCAGGTAAACAAGGCATGTCCAAATATTTTTGCTTGAGGTTCTCTGTTCTCATTTGAGTTCATTTATAATCTCTTTTAGTTGCAATTCTCACAGCTACTCTAGGGGATAGTATATTAGGGGCGGAAATAGGTATAACTAAGTGGGGTCAATTGAATCCTCTTCCTCAAAATATGATAACAATGCAAATAGGGCTAAAACAAATTCTTTTGGCTGTATAAACTAGTGAATTCCCTTGACATAATGGAAGATTCTAGTATAGTGAAGGGAATGCACAAGTTGGTTTGAGCAAAGGCAGATCCAAAATTTGAAGTTTATGGGTTCTAAATTTGGAGTTTCTGGTTTCTGTAGTTTATTGTTTGTACATATTCTGTGCATTTCTAACAAATAGTTCCACCCCTGGTTTTAGGTCATAGGTTCAAATCCCAAGTATGAATCTAGTATCTTTTTGAATTCCCTTGTATAAACTTCATCTTCCGCTACTGCTGGATATGGATCATGTTCTACACTATTTCATTACAAGTTCAGACTGCTATCCAAATAAATACCGAAATTCATGTTTCTTCGACAGTGGTGGTTATAGATTAACTAGTATGTTTCAGTTCCTCATATGAAAAAAATAGTAGGTTTTAATTGGCGGCCATGTATACCTTTTTCACCTTGCCAGCTTTTGGGCCATTTGAAAAAGTATCAACCTTCTGCGCTGTTCCTCCATTAACACTCTTTTCTAGTTCTGTCCTATCTGCATATTCTAAGGACTTGGGGAACTCAGCTGGGAATTTTTTTTCTAATTTCATTTCTCTTTTACTTTAACAGTATTTCATGTTACTGATCAACATGGCAACAAGGTTACAGACAACAATACTATTGGTCATATAGAAAAGGTAAATTATCCCTATTTTTGTCACCTTTTAATTTCATATTTTTATGGTCTATACAAAATTAATGCGAGGATAAGACAACAATTACTTTGGCAGTTCCTAGTATGATAGTATACAAAAGAAAGGAAAGAGGGATAAACTTATATGTAGCATCTTCAAAATTTGCTGTAAAATCATGCAACTCCAAGCTATCATTGCAGTTGATATTTTATAACTTTGGATTTATATGCAGGCATTGCCAATGACATTTCTACTCATGCATTTTATTGCACCTAGCATATATAAGAGTTTTATTTTTGGGACTGACTATTCAGAACACAGCAAAAGTCAAGCAACCATTCAGATATCCCTGGTGACTAAAAGTTGTTATAGAATAGCTGCTCATTTGTTAGATAAGAGTTCCCAATTCCACAAACTGAATAGTTCCTGATAATGTGTTTGAATTTGCCTATTTTACTTATGTGTTACAGTCATGAGCTTATTGCTATTGTAATCCTTACCTATACTGCAGTTTCTTTTTCTTTTTTTTCTTCACATGAGTTATGGTTAGGCTTTCTTGAAATTTGTATTCAGGATCAGATTTTACCCTAGTGCCTACCCAGTAAGATCATATTCATGCGGAGAAAATGTAGCTGTGCCATCTAGGTGACTGAAACTGTAAACATAGCTACCTGAGAAAAAGACATAATTTTTATCCAAGTTATTAATTATTTCATTAAATTTCTTACATTAGGCTCTAGGACCTGAAGGTTACACATCAGGCATATTGAAGACACGTCCAGGTAGAAAGGTAGGAGAGAACTCTATGGGTGATTACACCACCATTGAGCTAATAGGCAGGGATCGTCCAGGTCTTCTATCAGAAATTTCTGCTGTTCTAGCCAATCTTCATTTTAATGTTGCTGCTGCCGAGGTTTGGACTCATAATGGGCGCATAGCATGTGTCCTTTATATCAATGATAATTGTTCATCCCTTGATGAGGATGAAGAATCCAGATTGTGTGTCATGGAAGAGCAGCTCAATAACATTCTTCGTGGGCGTGAGGATGATGAGAGTGGGGCACATGCTACTTTCTCAGTTGGTAGTATTCATGTTGATCGGAGGCTTCATCAGATGTTTTTTGCTGATAGGGACTACGAAGGTGGTTGTCTCGAAATGGAGATAGAATACCCTCCTAACTCCAAACCAGACGTCAGAATTGAAAGCTGTGTCGAGAAAGGGTACTCAGTGGTCAGTGTAAGTTGCAAGGATAGAGCAAAGCTTATGTTTGACATTGTATGCACCCTCACAGACATGCAGTATGCTGTTTTCCATGCCACTATCTCATCAGATGGTCCCTCTGCATCACAGGTAATCTGATTATGTAATTTTGATGACTGCTATGATAACCTTAATACGGAGGATAGATCATTTATCTTTCATTTCTGCTCAACAATGTCAACATTGCTCCAGCCTCTACACTTTGAAAAGGGATGTGATCTGTATGGTCCTTAGTACTATCGTCATGTCATTAAATAAAAGTTACATTATTATAGAGGGAGCTACACTTAATTTCAATTCTTTCAGCTAGAGCAGAAAGATCAGAGCTGATAGCATCAATGATTTGGTTACCTTGTTTGAGTTTCTGAAACTACCCCACTAAAATCCTCATCCCCCATGTCTACCTTAGAAGTATTTTCATCCATCACCTTTGAAATTTTGGTTACTGATTAGTGTAATTCTTAATTTTATTCCCAAAGGAGATGAAAGAAATAAAGGCATGAATCCCCCTTCCCAAAAAGAAGAAGAAGTCTAGTTTAGCTATGCTCTAGTACCTAAGAATCCTTCCACTTCCAAAGTGGCTGTATAATGGAATCACGGATAGATTGTCATTAGGCTTTGATTCCAATATGTAATATAGACAACTCTATTTATAGGAATATTTTATTCGCCACATGGATGGTTGCACTTTGGAATCTGAAGCGGAGAAGGAAAAGGTTGTGAAGTGTATTGAAGCTGCTATTCGGCGAAGGATAAGTGAGGTAAGGGAGATTATCTACTCCTCTTAACTTGTCTTGAATGTTTCTCAAGATTGCGATCTGCCAGCTCTAATGTTACATCTCTTCCCATCTTTTCATTTAGTTGAGGTATAAGAAAATCCAATGATTGATATTTCTTGTCTCTTTATGACATTGCCAATTTCTCATCCTTCAGATAAACAAATAGAGTTTATGGAACCAATGCTCCTAACATTATTACATGGTCACTTTTTGTTGTTGGACTTATTTGGGAAAACACCATTTTTTTAGATCCAAACAGGCTCTTGCTCGCCCCCATTTTGAACTACTTTGTCAAATAGACAGAAGTCTCTAACTTAAAAATAATTCATAGCTAAGGTGATCTTTACTTTTAGAAAGAATCAAGAACTATTGCATATATAAACTTTCATTCTATATGTCTGTGATTGACTGGTCATCCAAAGAATCCATGAACATGTGCAATTTTTTGTTTTGCTGTTGGGATGAATGTGTAAGTTTGATAGTAGGATGTGGTCATCTAATATTATACTTTGGAACATTAGCATTGCTACTATTCTATTTTTGACTTGTACTTCAAGTGTTATGATTGCCCTCCAAGCGCGCATTCATATGTTACTTCAATCTATAACATTATGGGATGCATGAACCTATCCAAAACCCTCAAAATTCTAATGCCACCAGGTGGGATGTACTTAATTATATTCCTTTGATATACAGGGCTTCAGCTTTGAGTTGTGTGCCAAGGACCGAGTTGGCTTACTTTCTGAAGTTACGAGAGTCCTACGAGAAAATGGGCTATCAGTGACTAGAGCTGGTGTCACAACTATTGGGGAGAAAGCGAAGAATTTCTTCTACGTAAGAGATGCATCTGGAAACCCTGTAGAGATGAAGACGATTGAAAGACTGCGTGAAGAAATTGGACAGACAATGATGCTTAACGTGAAGAAAGTCCCAACATCTGCAAAGGAACCTGAAACGGGTGGTCTGGCTAAGACAAGCTTTTTCTTGGGAGGCTTACTGGAAAAGTTCCGAACCTGAAACTTCATCTACAACTACTTGTATAGAAGAATAAAGCACTTACATATAAATGTGGCAAGGTTTCCCTGTAAAAACCTGTAGATACATTGAACAATTATCCTTGTCGGGATAAACAAGGGGAAAAAGGAACTAGTCCCTTCCAGCCTTATTCTATGCTGAAGTTTGGAAGATTACGAGATGACTGTGTGTTATTCTTGCACAATAAAAGATGAAGATCTATATATTGCTGATGACACTATGACTTTGCATTGGAGTTTTGGTCAAGAAATGCTGCTATTGAAGATTGAACACCAATACGTTATAGTGTTATAATATGTTGTGTATCAGCTAGCTTGGTTCGACAATGATCGCGCTGCTAGCATTGTTTTGATTAATAGGTACTTCAGTTTAATTCTAGCTGGTTGAGTGTTTCCCCATTTGGGGAAAAATTGTACTATGTAATATCATTGATTTGCATGTAAGGATGAGAATTTAAGTAACGTGGATCGCCATTTTTCTCTCAAGGTCTTTTACCCATTCTTTTAGGGAATTTGTTTTTATCTTAGTTATATAGGAGGACACTACAGGTAGTTAGCTAATTTTACGCTCAGTTTGTTTGTGCTTTCCATTTACTTGTGTGATGTACATACATAGTATTATTATTTACTTTTCTTTCTTTTTATTACTGGCCTCGATCTCTTTTCTGTTCCACACTTTGATTTAATTTGAGCAGAATGACAACTAACACCGAGATCTATTTTATTGTTACTGATCATATTTTATCAAGGTTGCCTGTGCAATCACTGTTGCGATTCAAATGTGTATGCAAAAATTGGAACGAGCTTATCAATACCTCGAGTTTCATCGAAAAACACTTCAACAGTGAAAGTAATCGTCTCCGTCTAATGATTACCAAGTTTGGTCTTAACTACCACAAAAACCCGTGTGTAAGACCTTTTGATACGTACTTGCTCCCTGATAAAATATTCAGCGGATGTGTCCCTACTCATAAGCTGATTTATCATGGCGAAGACGTTGGTGATATCAGGGGTATTTATGGTCCAATTGATGGCTTGTTCTTATTAGAGAAAGGACATTACATAGACAATGGACGATTTGGCTGGTGGAACCCTGCAACGAAAGAGTGTAGGCTTATTCCTCGTGTTTTTTTCGAGGTAGAAGATGGTTTGGAAGACAACGATCGTAGAATAGGAATAGGAATAGACTTAGCTACTCATGACTACAAAATCATTTGGGTACGAACATATTGGAATGACTATGAGAGTGACATTTTCCCTAAGGTTTATGCAGCTGTCTATTCGACGAAAAATGACTCATGGAAGCACTTGGAGCCTAATTTCTCACACGAATGTCAAATATGTATGTCGTCCCAACATTGCACCTACAAGAATGGTATGTACTATTGGATTAGTACTAGCAAGAAGTATATCTCAGAAGGGATAAACGTGTATTTTATACGTACATTTGATTTTTCAACTGAATTGTTTGGGGAATTTGAAGGACCACCAATTCCAGGTGAACATTGGGTAACTTTATTTTTACGTGGTGGTTCAATTGCAACAATGTCTAGTAAAGATGTTACACAAGCAATGACAGCTTTTTATGATATTTGGGTAAATATTCGAGGAAATAATTGGATTAAAGTTTATACTGTGAATCCACCAATAACAAATCATTTGTGTATTGGAATTTGGGAGTATGATAAGTTTATTTATGAACTAACACCAAGTTGTAAAGTGTTGTTTTATGATCAAACAACTAAGCAAGTTACGAGTCTTGGATTTGAATTTGATGGAATAGGCTTTGGTTCATGTTGGGTTTTGAGTTATAAGGAGAGCTTAGTTCCGATAAGGAAAGAAAAACCGAGCGAGAAGGATAATATTGAATACTTCATGGTAGATTATTAAACAAGCATCACGAACGAGTTAAAAATTCAAAAGAAGTCTATTTTTTCCTATGATTCTGTCATTTATATGATTGAGTTGTGAAAACTTCTGCATAAATATCCTATATGTAAACACGATTCTTTTTCATTGAAGAATCTCTTTCTAGTTGCTCTAGAACAATTAGGAGATTATTCTCAAAATATGTTACATCCCGCTTAAGGAATCATATCAATATGTTTTTTAGGAAAAATGTGAGGATGACATTGTAAATGTAGCAATTGAATTTTTGAATTGGACATGTGCATATGTTTCTTCTTCTTTTTTGTTTATAAGGAAGTATTGAATTATTCAGAACTTAAGAATTCTTACTGAACCTCTTAGCAATTGACAAACGATAATATTGGTTACAAATGGCTAGTCAATTTCAAGGTGTGTTTTGTTAAATAATTGGTAATAATTCAAGTAGAAAATCACAAACACCTGATAGATAGGAAATTTGCAAAAACATGATAATTCAGGTGTGTTTTTTTACCATTGTCTCTTTAACTAGCGGTGATTGAGGTATTGCTAATGAAAATGCCTCAATTTCAAACCAAATTATGGTTGCATATAGGTCAATTAGGTTTATACCAATTTCAAATTAACGAACTAAGAGCTTGTTCAGGCAAGTTTTTACTTTTGTCAAGATATATAGCTTTTTAGATAAATATTTCTGGAAAGGTGCAGTTTATGTTTGGCCAATTCATTGCTTTTCTCAGTATTCGATGATTCATGTGTCGTTTTGATGAATAACAAATAAAATGTATTTGTAATGAAATTAAGAAGTTGGTCTGATTATATTATATCAAAATATTTTGTTTTGTATTTGGGACAATATGTTGTGGACAGACAAGTTAAGAAGCAGAACTGTATAAACAACTTTCTTGATAATACTCGTATCAGATTTTCCAAAAATACACTATATTTGGAGTATGTAACATGGAACCATCAATATCTTTTAAACAGTCTGAGCAACATATGACGTAAGTATCTTTTCAGAATTAGCAAGTTTTTCTTGTAGTTTCGTTAGTTACCCCTAGTATTGCTCTGATACCATTTTAAATTGCATAAAAACTTCCAACTTTTCTCACTGTCAGTAAGTCAATATATAAAGGCTAAACAATTACAAAATACACACAGTATGCCATGTAGGACTCGCCAACTCATTGTGAGGTCCATCCCATGTTTTTATTAGTCAACTTTTGCTACTCAATTGCTGCAAGCAATTATTAAAAAGGAATAATGACAACAAAATGTTGAAAAAGAAATTGTTGCAAGAGTTGAAAAAATGATAGATTAGGTGGTTGACAAATTGGTAAGATTTGCAATCTTTTGAAATTTGCTACATTTGTATATGTCATCAGTGACATATGTATGATTTTCTCTTCCTATAAATAGGGCATTCTTGCTCATCTATAGAACACATCAAGATAGAGAGAAAAAAAATATTTGAGAGCAAAGTGAAAGTATTTCATAGACTATACAAGAAAAATAGTGTGTGAAAGAAAATAGAGTATGAACAATATTTAGTAAGTTGGTATGCAATCATCAATATTTTTTAAACAGTCTGAGCAACATATGACGTAGGTATCTTTTCAAAATTAGCAATTTCTTCCTGTAGTTTCGTTAATTACCCCTAGTATTGCTCTAATACCATTCCAAATTGCATAAAAAGTTTCAACTTTTCTCACTGTCAATAAGTCAATATATACCGAGACTCAAAAATTACAAAATACACACAGTATGCCATGTATGACTCGCCAACTCATTGTGGGGTCCATCCCATATTTTTATTAATCAACTTTTGCTACTCAATTGCTGCAAGCAATTGTTAAAAAGGAATAGTAACAACAAAATGTTGAAAAGAAATTGCTACAAGAGTAAAAAATATGATAAATTAGGTGGTTGACAAATTGGTAAGATTTGCAACCATTTGAAATTTGCTACATTTGTATATGTCATCAGTGACATAGGCATGATTTTCTCTTCTTATAAATAGAGCATTCTTGCTCATTTGTAGAACACACCAAGATAGAGAAAAAAAAATATTTGATAGTAAAGTGAGGTATTTCATAGACTATACAAGAAAAATAGTTTGTAAGGACATCTCCAACCCAATCCTCTATTTTACTCTCCAAATATAGAGTTCTCTATTTTTTCAGACAACCAACTCCAACCCAATTCTCTATTTTACTCTCTAAAAAAGAATCTTTTTCTCTCTCCTCAATATTATATTATTATTTCTATTTCATTATTATTTTCTTATTTCATACTATAAATCCTTTATTTCTTTTTTCCCAAATAATTACTTTATATAATTTTTAACGTGATATAAAATTATTTTTTATTCTAAATTTTTAAATAACATAAATTGCAAGAAAATATAATATAATACATAAATTAGGGGACAAATTCAAATAAAAGTGACATACAATTACATAAACACTCAATTTTCAAAATTATTACGTTGCTTCCATAAATGCTCTATTAATGCATTACGGAGTTCAAAATGAGCATTTTTGTCCTTAATTTTTATTGTTACGTAATAAAGTAAAACACGTGTTAATTAATTAAAATTGCGTAAAATGAATTATTAATTCAAACACATGAGATGCATGTATTAGATTGTTGTATACATTATGTGCGGATAAGCTTTACTCGATTAATATCTACATATAATTTTATTTATCTAAAATAACTTTGAGATAACTATGAGAATCTCATCCTACGGTTAAAAATATGGTGAAATTCATCCAATAGTAAAAATCAAAATTACATTTTATCCTATTTATCGACATGTAATTTTATTTTATCTAGAAGTAATTTTTTGAGATAAGGATGAAAATCTCATCCTATGATTAAAAATATAGTGAAATCCATCCATGGTGAAAATGAAGATTACACTATCCTATTAATATTTATAGATAATTTTTACTCATCTAAAAATAAATTTGAGATAAGGATGAAAATCTCATCCAATGGTTAAAAATATAGTGAAATCCATCCCATGGTAAAAAACAAAACTTACGTTATATATATATAATATATGTATAAGTCTATTCTTGTCACAAAGGCAATAGTATACTCACATTTCCATAAAACAACTAAAAAATGTCTCGATCTTCTGGATACTCTCTCAATGAGGATAAATTATTATGTCAAATCTATGTAGACATATCTCAAGACCCGATCACCTGCATATGCCAATCCTATGATCAGTTTTGGGTTCAAATTGAACAAAGCTATAATAATTTAAAGGAAGAATCATGGATATATCGCAATAAGAAATCATTGCAGTGTCGAATAGCCTTAATTGAGAAGGCAGTAAGAAAATTAAGTGCATGTATTAGACAAATAGAAAATTTGCATCCCAGTGGTGCTTCAGATATAGATATTGTAAGTGACTATTTTCTAACTACTTATAATATATTTATATATATATATATACTTACACAATTCTGATTCATATTTTTGCAGATTAATCAAGCAAAAATGCTACTTATGCAAGAACCAACTTATAAAAAAGGTTTTAAGTTTGATCATGTATAGAATGTAATGAAAGATTTTGAAAAGTTTAAGGATATCGACACCAGAAAGAAAAAAGTTCGAGAACAAGGCTCTACTTTGCAATCATCGGAGTCCGAGGCTCCTAGTCCTACATCACCTATAGTATCATATCCTAACTTATCTTCTTTTTCACTTAATTTAAATGAGAATTTTTCAGATCATTACACTTCATCTGAACGGCCTATTGGGGTGAAGAAATCAAAATTAAAGAGATCAAAAGATCAAGGTCTTTCGTCAGCTATGAAACTTTTCGAAACCGAAAATAATCGACTTGGAAAGATGTTATCAGAGTCTGCTACATCCAAACAACAAGACGGCGAAAGGCTAGATAGATATATCAAAGCCAAGGAATTTAGAGACGAAACTAAAATTTTAATGAAAAATTTAGAAACTACTAGTGATCCAAATGTTCGTGAATACCTGCATCGAGAACAACAACGAATACTTGAAAAAGAAATCGACAATCACAATCGCAGTCACAACCGCAATCACAACCACAATCGCAACAATTCTCGAAATCATATCCTAATTTTTTCCGAATAGTGCTATATCTGAAAACGACCTACCAGATTTCTATATTATTGTTGTGATCAATTAATTATTATGTTATGTATTGTATGTTATCTTGTATTTAAATTATTATGTTATGTATTATATTGTATTGTTATCTTGTATTTAAATTATCATATCATGTATTGTATTTTTAAATTAAATTTTTTCATCTTGCATCATATCATGTTCTGTATTTTTAAATTAAATTTTTTCATCTTGCCATTTTAATTTTGCGTATTCTTTATAATGAAAATTAATAATAAAATAAAATTTTGTTATTCACGAAAATTAGAAAAAAATTTAAATACTATTAATTTGAAATTAAAATAGTATATATTAATAATATATTTTAAAATATTATATTACATTTAAAAGAATTATGAATATTAGATATTTAATTAATGGAATTATATGTAAAATAATATGTTAATTAGAAAGTAATAAAAATAATAATAAAATAATGAAAAAGTGAAATAGAGAGTGTGAATAGTAGTTCTCCAAAATTTGGAGAACTACTATTCAACTCTCTAAAATTTGAAGAATAGAGGGTGATTTGGAGATGGGTTGGAGTGCCCATTCTCTATTTTACTCTCCAATTATAGAGAATGGAGAGTAAAATAGAGGTAGGTTGGAGATGGTCTAAAAGAAAATATAGTGTGAGCAATATTTAGTAAGTTGGTATGCAACCATCAATATCTTTTAAACAGTCCGAGCAACATATGACGTATGTATCTTTTCAAAATTAGCAAGTTCTTCCTGTAGTTTCCTTAGTTATCCCTAGTATTGCTCTGATACCATTCCAAATTGCATTAAAAGTTCCAACTTTTCTCATTGTCAATAGGTCATTATATACCAAGGCTCAA